AGGTGCTGGACAACAATTTCCAGCTAGACCTTACAGTGTTCAAGTGCCAGAATCTAGTAATTCCAGCAATCATGAAAGGTCACTATCTCTGGCCTGCACTTCACAACGCAAAACCAGTGCCAGAGATATACCTACAACAGTTATGGGGCCACATGCATACGGAATCACCGAAGGATCGCTCAAAGATAAAGACCAAATTGAACGGCATGCGTGTGATTCTGACACCATCAACTCTACGGACTACTCTAGCGCTGCCAATCCACGACGAGTACGATGCGCTGCCATCCATCCCAGATCTACTCAAAGACGTGGCATCCCTAGGCTACACCTCATTACTGCCACAACTCTCCAACTTCAACGGAGCATATCTTCATCATCCGTGGAAGAGCCTCTTCGGGCTGGTGAACAAGTGCCTGTCGCCTAAGCATGCCGGATTCGACAAGTGCAACAAGAAGATCCTGCTCATGTTTCATGGCATCGCTTTCAACAAGAACTACGACTTGGCACAGCTCTTCTTCTCAGAGCTAATGGACCTGGTCAAAGCCAAAGAGAAGAACAGACCAGGTACAATCCCGTACGCAAGGTGGCTCGGGCTAATCATTAACGACTGCATGGCAGAGCACTCTTCAATACCAAAACGCAGCTCAGATCCACATTACAATGCCCTGAAGCTGCAGTACTTCAAAGCAGACAAGAATCCTGTCTCCGGTCTGAGGATCCCTGGGTTTCTGCTCAACCTTTTCAAATCTTCAAATCCAGCAGTTCAGAAGTACAAGGAAGCCACTGAGAGAACTGTCCCTATGGTTCAGCAAAACCCAGCTGGACCTACCCCGGGGGCAAAGCCGAGTGTAGGTAAGGGTCCAAAGAAAACCCAAAAGCCACAGAAACCAGTGGCCGGTTCGCCCAATGAAGGAAAGTCTGACGACTCTCTAGAGACGAGTCAGGCGGCTGAGGGCACCGAAACAGACGCTGAGGAAACTGCCAATGAGTCGTCAAGTGATGCCCAAACAAACACTGACGATGAGGCATCCGAGAGCGTGGGAACGGATAGCGGGGAATTTGGCTCGGATGATGATAGTGACGACAATGACAGTGAAGACGTTGAGCTCACATATGCTCTGATCAGAAAAGGAAAGTTGCATGTTGAATCTCCACAAAAGAAAAGGATCACTGCTGAAGACGCAGCACCGATAATAGCAGGCAGACCCCAAGTCTTCACTATCAAGGAGCTAGCTAAACCAAGAGCCGATCCCAGCGAAACAAACTGCTCTAAGGATGACTACGACGAAGCAGCTCATACGATAAAGAATTCCAAGGACGTCGTCATCCGGGAGAAAAGGGCAAAGGTTAAGAATGACAAGACTGCTAAGGCAAAGCCTCAGCCCCGAGTCAGAAAGAGCCTAATTGATAAGGCAGACGAGCACATCTTCGCTGGCTGCGATACCTTTATCCAAATAAGCCGAGCTGAATCCTTAAGTACAAGAGCCGATCTTTTCGGTTCCCGGGTAGAAGTCGCAGCATCTGGCTCAACTGCGCAAGCACAGCCCTCACCCAGCCACTCGATAGCCTCTCAGCAGGTTATTGTTTCAAAAGAACGGGACTCAACCCCCTCACTGGTTCCTTCCGAATCAGTTGAGCGTACAATTGACTTATCGCCCGAGGTCAAAACCCCTTCTTCAAGCACATTGAGTCTAGGTGTCACATTCCCTACATTTTCTTCTTTTTCTAGGACACCTACACTATTCACTGCACATACAGGTGCACACACCCTGAAAGCAATAACCAGAGCGCAAGCTATGACGGTTGGAAGCCCTGCTACGCCCTCAATGATTCCATCATTGCCCGCAGGCCACACATCAGCTGTATCTTCACTGATGCTGTGACAATAGTTACAACCCCCGTAACTGGTCACCCAACCTTTGAAGACATCAACGTTCTACTAAATCGCTTCCTAGATTCCACCATTAAACCATGGGTGCAAGATGCAATGACCGCTCTAGCACAGGAATTTAGGACCACCCAAGCGGTTCGGTCTGAACAAACCCTACCCCAACCTTCACCCGAACCTTTCATTTCCCATACACAACCCGTATCCTCCACCCCTCTATCTCACCAATCCATTAACCAAATACCCGTTCCTTTACACTCTCAGGGAACCCAGGATACAGAACTAGTATTCTCCCCACACCCTCCATCGATCTCTCCTCACTATCCTTCGACACCCTTGCATCGGCTTTGCTGGACAACCTTCTAAACATCCCCGAAGCCAAACTTACTCTCCACCAGCAAGGCAGGAAGCCATTCTTGATGCCCTCCTTTCTTCCCCCGAAACCAAGAGCAAATGCAAGGAGAGTCCTCGTGGTCGCAAACGTTCCCATGAGGACCCCAATGATTCGGATCCTCATGAGGGGGAGAACAAGCGCCCACGATCACTTGAGCAAACTGCTTTACCTCGCCAAACTTCACAGCCCATCCAACCCGAAACCTCTACAAACCAACAGCCACCACCCGTAGCCAAAATATCTAGCCTGGTCGAGCTAGACTCAACATCCCGAGGCGTATCCCCTAGAGATACCAACCGAGGAGGGGATGGAAGTCCTGATGATGTTACCACTGGTACATCTTTTACATCAGGCCATCAGTTAGAACCTAGTTCTAAACTGATGTCAACGGGCAATCCAAGTGAACCCGGTTGTGCTACCCAAGAACAATCACCGCTCCAACAGCAGCAAAGAGTTCCATACATTCCCCCAGGCAAGGACATCCACGATGCACTGGAGGAGGCGGTGATACATGATAAATGGCCAAGACAATGGACATAATGGGATGATCTCCGCAATGAGGCTGAGGTAGATGACATGCAGAGAAATTGGTGGCTACGAGAGCTAATCAACAAATGTGCTGAAGATATCATCAGGCTCGAGGACGATGAACGAAAGGAAGGGGAGAATTACAAGGAATCTCAGAAAACTCTTGAATCCGTCGTTAGACAATCAGCGGGAAGACTTCCCAAGACAGAGAAACCTTGGGACAACGTTCGAATCAAAGCCCCCTTCCAAGAGGAAATCAGAGAGCATATTTGGCGTAGACCAGACAAAGTCAAACCGTTGAATGAACTGAAGCTTCGAGGCCTTACTCATCTAAAGGAAAGCAGGCTGGAGGTCATCTACATATGCTATTACAAAGGTCAACCGGTACTCAGAGAGAGCTGATGGAACAAGACTTGAAGTCCAACATTCTCCCGATTCATCAAATTCTACAAGTGAAGGCCGAGGATTATCACGGAGTTTACATGCCAAAACGCACTGACGGGAGTGAATTTACATGCCAAGAGAATGATTTCATCATGCTTAAACCAGACGACATCTATCAAATATACATGGCCTTTCGATACCTTCCAGTCAGGCAGAGCAAAACTTACAACGAAGGTCTTGCAACAATCAAGAGATTCATGTTCAGACAGATCAGAGTACATTCTTCACATGACCTACAGATGGCTATTGAGTGCAACTTGACAAAGACAAACCTTACAAAGCCAAGACTGTATGGTCCAGCTCGAAGACTTCCCAACTTACCACATCTTCTTCACACCGCCAGCAGTCACTTACCTCAACCACAAGAACGAAAAAGATCTGATGGTGGTCAACGAAATTGAGAAGTACTGTGACGGAACGCTGAAGATAATCAAAGAACAGCTTCTAAAGATGAAGGCACAGCTAGAGGAAAATCTTCAGGAGGCATCGTCATATGTTCAAAAGGAACACTCTACAGTAGAGACAATTTTAAAGGCCATCGACGATCGCCTAGAAAAGAGAAATATGTTGAGGCAATACGAGCATGCACTGAATATGAGGAGGCACTACTTCAAGTCACAGAAGCAATAACAAAGTGGCACTTGATCACAAAGGGGGAGATTGTTGGAGATATTTTAATTGTGAATCAAGTTTGTCATAGATTAGCTTTATTATTATTCCTTGTATTAAATTAGTGCATGTATTAGATAGAATGTGGGCCAAGTGTTAGGCCCATATAAACACGCTAAAAGCCTTTCACGCCTAACCTAAACCTCGCCTATAAAAAGGGAGCCGAGGGTTTACGATTAGGTTAACATCGTACTTATTCACTATAGCCTTACGCGCATATCTTTCTGTATACGAGTTCACGGTCTATCAAAGAGGATTTTACATTGATTCAATCTGTGTTCATCTTTACGTTTAATCTTCTTTGTTAGATTGTTATTCATTGCTGTTACAGAAACAGGGACTATCAGTCCGGTATCATGCCATACCAATGCCAAACAATGCCATTTTTTGACAAATTAAAAATTAGTCATCATCCAAAAATCCACACAATTATCAATTTTCACATTACATAATTAATGAACTTCATATAAACTATAATAGTACAAAATGTAATAACTAATAACAATTATGGATGTAATTGATTATAATCTATTACTTCCAAAATCCCCATTATAGATGTAATAGATTAAAATCACTAATGGATGTAATAGTGTTATTGCAAGCAGCTTGCAGTGAACTAGCAATTAGCACAGTGCAAATGAGTAATCAAAGTAATGGTAATATGGTATACATGTATATATAATTATAAAATTATATAAATTAATAAATGAGTAATCAAAGTAATGGTAACATGGAACCGGTACGGTCCGGTTCGGGACAAAATTGTTTAGAACCGTTTGAAACCCCGTTTTCCGGTCCGGTGCCATACCGGTTCGGTTCAATACCATGCCGATTCGGTAATTTTGTCCACACCTATACGTCATTGTATCACATTTAGAGAACTGTGTTATTTCATATCAACATGCAGACATTTTAAAGGCACTTAATGAGATAGGTTGTTGATGTGAGTATTTTTATTTTTTAAACCCGGTAGGTAAACAATCAAAATCAGTGGGGTAAATGCCGAGTAACATTTACCGAATTTTATTAATTAAATGGAAAGAATACAAAAAGAGGCGCGGGGGGGGGGGGGGGGGGGGGGGGGCTAGACCAAAACCCCTCCATAGGAGGCATTCCTCCTAAAATACAACCGGATACAAAATTCAGAAAACATTGGGGGGACTAGACCTGACCCAATGCCAAAGAAGAGTACATATATTATAAAAAACATCTAAAAGACTTGGAATATTAAATAAATCAAGGTAATAAGCACTTTTAACAATAGGAGGAAGAGAAGTAGTTGTGGAAAATAAATTAAAGTTGAGCTCATGAATACCCAGAAGATAATGGGCCGGTCAGTTGGCTTGCCTCATAATATGTCCGAACGACACACTAGCTCGCTTAGCTTTGTCCAAAATCTCAGCAACCAGATATTTCCAACTCCTTTCCTGAAATGCACTCTGAACACTTCCACCGAATCAAACTCCATCTGAAAATCAACATAGCCAGCGTCCACCGCCCAGTTCAACGCCATACTCACTGCTCTCAGTTCCGCCTCAAAGCTCGAAGAAGCCTTCAACTGAAATTGAATCGCAAAAACCAGCTCGGCCCTGTCGTTTCGCATTATCGCACCACCAGATGCTTTATCAGGTAAGAAGGATGCATCTGTGTTTAATTTTAACCTACCTTTAGGCTTAATCCAATGAATCGGCCTGAAGATTTTGTTGGTAAGCTTAAACGTAGGAGGTATCAACTTTTCAGTGAAGAGAATCTTGTCAACCACTCTAAGTTTCATTACAGTCAAAGTAAGGGCCCAAGTTTGAGTGTAAGATTTAATTTGCCCAATAAGATTATCTGAATTAAACGTAGAGGATTTGTTGCCCCACATGGACGATGTCGTAGAGGATTTGATCTTGGTCCGACCTACCGCTTGACGATGCCAGCAACCCGCATGGATGAACGAGTCGAAGCATTAGAGAAGAGCCAGGATGCATTCCGTACAGAAGTCAATCAGCAATTCCTCAGTATCCAGGAATCCCTTTCCCATTTAACTGGCTTACTAAGTCAAGCGTCGCTTGCCAAAGGACAGTTTGACTCCAGCACTACCAGCCCGGATGCTTCCACCCTGGATTCATCAAAGGGGAAGTCCACAGACACCAATCCCCATACTCGAGCCACGTCTCTAGATGATTGTCAAATCCCTATTAACCATATCAAATTACCAATATTCTCTGGTACAGATCCCATGGGGTGGCTAGCACGGGCAGAACAATTCTTTGACATTCACTGTACTCGAGAGGATTTGGAAGTGGCGACAGCTTTCGTTAGCATGGAGGGACCTTCTTTGCATTGGCTTCAATGGCTACAGCAACACAATTTCCTGCTCTCGTGGGTGCAATTCAAGAGCGAACTGCTCGAAGAATTTGACGGTGAACTGACCGGCCCCCTGTTTGAACAGTTGGCAGCACTTTGCCAGGAAGATACAGTTGCTGATTTCACCAACGAGTTCTGGGCTCGGTTGGCACAAATCCCTGGCCTCGCATCACATGTTCAATTAGGATTATAGCTAAATGCTCTTAAACCTGAAATTCGTGTAAAATTTAGGCCAAGTGACGTGGTTGATCTCCGGACAGCCATGAATATCGCAAAAGCGGTGGAGCGGGAGTTGCTGTTTGCGGCAACAGGTCGCCTCATGGGAGGCTTCAACCAGGGCTGCACATCGGGCGGGTTGGGTCGGGTTTGCTATATTTTTTTGGCCTACCCGATCTGTTCGGGTTGACTATTATTCAACCCGCGGTACGCAAAATAAGTTGGTAACTCATGCATGAACGGGTCGGGTAGGGTCGGGTATTGAAAAACAATCACTTCGGGTTGCATCTTTACGTGGGAGATTAATGTAACCAATTTAAAACTCGATTAACTTGTTTTCAAAACACACAAAGAAATACAAATACTCGTATCTTTTATAAGCAAAAACATTATATAATAGTATTAAAACATCCTTTCGTAAAGGAAGATCATTTAGAAGGAAACATAAATATATAATAATCACCTAGTCAAAATGGTAAATGTTTAATTATAATTCTAGTATCATAAAGTCCTAGATAGAGCACATTGGTCTTAAATCGAAATTATCCAAGAAAATATTGTAGCATAATAATAGTAAAATAAAATGAACTTCGGCCGGGTCGGGTACTATCGGGTTGGAGATTTTAATTCCGCAACCCTACCCATTAAGTGCGGGTTCAATCATATTTAACCCATGAATATTTTTAAAAATCAAATACCCGATTAAATAGGGTCAGGTAGGGTTGAGTCGGGCGGGTTATGCGGGTTCGGGTTATTCTTGTGCAGCCCTAGCTTCAACAACGCTAAGGAAATTAAAATAAACTGGTCTTCCAATGTTGGGCAAGGTGGGATTGATGGGAGAACATCATACGGCCCAACTAAACAGTCTTCCTTATTTTACCCAACGCCCAGGTCTGATAGATCCACCACTTCTCAGCCTGAAAAGCATCCAGGGGTGCACACCACTTCCTCACACGGCCCAACACAACACTTTTCTCCTACTCTCTGACACCAAGGGCAGCCCTCTGCGCCAAAATCAGTTCGCTGTTTCAGCAACCGTGAATATTTGGACATGCGGACCAAAGGACAATGTTTTCGTTGTAAACAACAATATAGTCCAATGCACGTCTGTCCAAATAAATCGCTCCAGATCCTCATTTTTGAGGAGGATGAAGATGAACTTTCCAAAGAGTTGAACCCGACCGACTACCCAGAGGTTGATCACCCACCTGCAGACTTGTCCCAAATTTTTCTCTGTGATCTGCCCTTGACAGCACTTGGAGGTATCGACGGACCCAAACACTAAAGTTTTGGGTTGGGTCGCAAACCTGGAGGTGGTTATCATGGTTGACAGTGGAGCTAGCCGCAACTTCATCTCTGAGAAATTAAAGGACCACATCAATCTGTTGGAAAAATGTGTTAAAAAATTGTATTAAATGGTCAATTTGGGGTAATTAATTGAGTGGGGTCCACTTCCGATTTGGGTCGGGTCAAAGTGGTTTCGGATTGTCCTTGTTAAGGGCTACAATTCGATATATGGTACGCTCAAAACGGATAACGGGTGAATGAGAAATTGATTCTCGAAATTCGCTCGTTGAAATGGAAAAACTGGGAAAATGATGAGTTTCTAGTGTGTTTTATCCCACACCGAAAAACTCAAGGGATTTTCACCCTTTTATAAAGGGAAGCCTCTTTTAAGGAGTTAAGATTCCTAATGGGAAAGGCTCTCTCTTACGCGCAGGGGGGGTGCCGATCAAATCCCGAATGGACAGTTAAATGGACAGTTTATGGACGATTCAATGCCCAACGGACTGGTCATTGATGTCCAACGTTCAGGTCCATTAACACCCCATTTAACACACAATCAATCCTCCTATAAATAGCTGGCAGGTGCTTTGCAACAGACACACGGTTTGATAACGCACAACACTTTCCTCACGTTTTCTTGAGCTGAAAACTCTTCCAGCTACTCCCAAAAATCCTTCTGTGTTCATACTTGGTTCTCGTTCGCTGGAACTCTTGTTTGTGTGCTCAAACATTAGTTCGTAGTCATCGTATCCTGGGAAACGATTGTTGCAACGCTCCTAGCACCGTGGGAGGCAACAAATATGTTTTAAGAAAATCGTGCGTAGCACGAGCTTTGGCTAATTCTGCTTCATCTCCTTTCTTGTTTTTCTCCAGTCATTTTATTTAATTAATTTATTTTAATTATTTTTCTTTATTTTCCGAAACACACCCAACAATCTTAAAACTTATTTGTTGAGTTTGTATCATACGGATACAATCTTAAAACGTATTTTTCCTTGGTTGTTGTACTGCGGTAAACAATCTAAAAACGTAGTTTGTCACTTTGGTCAACGAACTTAATTTTTGTGTTTTCGGAAAAACGTTAAAGAACGAAAATGACTTCTCAAGAAAACGAGATTGGTGTTGGGCAGAATGTTCTGAACGACAATCACTCTGAAAGCGGAGCACCGGTGAACAATAGTTCACAACGCGGTGCATCTGCTTTGGCCAACCAAAGGGCTATCCCTATGGTGACCGTGCCAAGCAACTCTGTGGAGAAACCCGAGAAATTCAACGGGTTAAACTTCAAGAGGTGGCAGCAAAAGATGCTATTTTACCTCACTACTCTCGGTCTTGCTAGATTCTTGACCGAAGATGCGCCGGTAGCAACCGGGGGTGAGGTGGATGCGCAATCTTTCAACGCGGTTGAAGCTTGGAAGCATTCTGACTTCCTTTGCCGAAACTACGTGTTGAACGGGCTGCATGATGCTTTGTACGACGTGTATAGCAAATTAGCTACGGCTAAGGAGCTATGGAATGCTATGGACCACAAATATAAAAGCGAGGATGCCGGCGCAAAGAAATTTGTTGTTGGTCGATTCCTTGACTTTAAAATGGTGGATTCGAAGACGGTCTTGAGTCAAGTTGAGGAGATGCAAATGATCTTCAACGAAATTCGAGATGAAGGAATGACAGTTAGTGAATCTTTCCAAGTGGCGTCAATTATCCATTTATTGCCGCCGGCTTGGAGGATTTCAAGAACTACCTTAAGCATAAGCGAAAGGAAATGAACTTGGAGCAATTGATCCTCCGTCTGCGGATTGAAGAGGATAACCGGAAGAACGATGGGAAACTCCCAATTGTTCATGGCGCCAAGGCCAACGTGGTGGAGCATGCTAAAGGCTCCAAAAATAAAAATAATGGGAAGAGCAAGCTCGGTCCCAAGGGAGGCGTTTCCAAGACGAAGTTCAATGGAAAATGCTTCAATTGCAACAAGAATGGACACAAGTCCTCGGATTGCAAGGCACCTCGGAAGAAGAAAGACTCCCAAGTCAATTTGGTGCAAGGTGGGCAAAAGGATGAAGACATCATCCTAGCGGCTGTGGTTACGGAAGTCAACCTCGTTGGATCCAATTCCAAGGAGTGGTTTGTGGACACCGGTGCAACCCGGCACATTTGCTCGAACCGGGAGTTATTCACAACTTTTGAGCCATCAAATGGTGAGAAAGTGTGGATGGGTAACTCGGCTCATTCCGCTGTTGAAGGCGTGGGCAAGGTGGTCCTGAAGATGACTTCGGGCAAAGAGCTGACTCTCAACCAAGTGCTGTTTGTTCCGGAAATACGCAAAAACCTGATTTCCGGTTCGTTGTTGAACAAGCATGGCTTCCGCATGGTTTTTGAGTCGGACAAACTGGTTTTGTCCAAATCGGGAATGTATGTGGGCAAGGGATATACATGTGATGGGCTTTTTAAGCTCAATGTAATGACTATTATTAATAATAATAATAAAATCCCTTCTGCTCACTTGCTTGAGTCTTCTAATGTGTGGCATGGTAGACTAGGACATGTTAATTATAATTCTATACGTAGATTAATTAACATGGAGCACATTCCTAAATTCACAATTGATGTGAAGCACAAATGTGGAGTTTGTGTAGAGGCCAAACTAGCGAAAACGTCTTTCAAATTAGTTGAAAGAAAAACGGAACCACTTGAATTAATTCATAGTGACGTTTGTGATTTTAAATCAATACAAACACGTGGCGGTAATAAATATTTTATTACCTTTATCGATGATAGCACTCGCTATAGCTACGTTTATTTATTAAAAAATAAACACGAAGCAATCGATAAATTCATTCTTTATAAGAATGAAGTGGAAAACCAACTTAATCGACGGATTAAGACGATTAGGAGTGATCGAGGTGGTGAGTATGAAGCACCAATTGGTGACTTTTGCGCTAGTGTGGGTATAGTACACGAACGTACCGCACCCTATTCACCTCAATCAAACGGTGTTGCCGAACGAAAGAATCGCACATTGAAAGATATGATGAACGCGATGCTAGTAAGTTCGGGCTTGCCACAAAATATGTGGGGCGAAGCAATATTGACAAGCAATTACCTTTTAAATAAGGTTCCCCGGAAAAAATATGATAAAACTCCGTACGAGTTGTGGAAAGGCAGACGGCCTTCCTATCAATATTTAAGAGTGTGGGGGTGTCTTGCTAAGGTGCTTGTACCAACACCTAAGAAAATAAAAATAGGTCCAAAAACGGTGGATTGTATTTTTATTGGGTATGCACAAAATAGTAGTGCTTATCGGTTTTTAGTGTACGATTCGAATAATCCGGATGTACATAAAAACACAATAATTGAATCAAGGAATGCTTCATTCTTTGAAGATGTATTTCCATGCAAGTCCAACGAAGGGCCTAGCACGTCAAAACGAACATTTGACGTAGCTATGGAAAATACTAGCGAGGGATCCGGAGAAGAACCCGAACCCAGACGTAGCAAACGTGCTAGAGTCGAAAAATCCTTCGGACCGGATTTTCTCACCTACCTGGTAGAATTTGAATCGGATATTCTAACATGTATGGTAGAAAATGAACCGGATTTTCTAACATGTTTGGTAGAAAATGAGCCACGGACTTATACGGAAGCCGTGACGTCTACTGAAGGTCCTATGTGGAAAGAAGCCATCAAAGGTGAGGTGGATTCTATCCTTAAAAATCACACATGGGAATTGGTTGATCTTCCTCCGGGAAATAAACCTTTGGGATCCAAGTGGATTTTTAAACGGAAAATGAAACCGGACGGTTCCATCGATAAGTACAAGGCCAGACTTGTAATCAAAGGA